TATATATATTTTTAGTTGTCCAGATCACTTCTTTCTATTTTTTTAGTAGAGACGGGGTCTCGCTCTTGCTCAGGCTGGTCTCGAACTTCTGACCTTGAGCGATCCAGCCGCCTAGGCCTCCCAGAGTGCTAGGATTACAGGTGTGAGCCGCTGCGCCCGGCCTACCTTATTCTTTTAATGTCTGTAGGATCTGTTGTCATGCCCTCTCTTTAATTTCTTATATTGTTAATTTGTGACCTCTCTTTTTTTTGATAAGTTTAGATAGAGGTATTAATCTATTAATTGTATTGATCTTTTAAAAGATCCAGCTTTTTGTTTCATTAATCTTTTTCTATTGTCTGTTTTCAATTTCTGCTCATAATCTTTATTATTTTCTTCCTTCTATTTACTTTAAGTTGATTTGTTCTTTTTCTAGTTTCTTCAGGTGGTAGCTTAGATCATGTCTTGATTTGAGATATTTCTCTTCTAATACTAGCATTTAATGTCATAAATTACCCTCCAATTGTGGTTTTAGTTGTGTCCCAGGGATTTTGATATGTTGTATTTTTATTTTCATTCATTTCAAAATATTTTCTAATATTTCCTTTGTGAGTTCCTTTTTGACTCATGGGTTGTTTAGAACTATTAAATACATTGGTTAATTTCATAGTATTTGGGGGTTTTCCAGATTATCTTTTTGTAATTGATTTTTGGTATAATTCTGTGTGGTCAGAAGACATTTTGACATTTCAATTCATTTCTATTTCTTAAGGTTTATTTTATGATTAAGAACACGGTCCATTTGTGGTCAATGTTCTGTGAGCATTAGAGATAATGTATGTTAAGCTGCTATTAGGTGGAGTGTTCTATAAAATGTCAAATAAGTCTAGCTGGTTGATGGTTGATAATGTTGGGTTTTTGTTATTGTTGTTATTGTTGTTGTTTTTTTGAGACAAGGTCTTGCTCTGTTACCCAGGCTGGAGTGCAGTGGCACAATCAGTGGCCTTGATCATAGTGAGCTATGATCAAGGGATCCTCCTTCCTCAGCCTACCAAAGTACTAGGATTATAGGCATAAGCCACCGTGCCAGGCTGATTCATAATGTTGTTTAGGTTTTCTGTGTCCTTACTGACTTTGTATCTTCTTGTTCTAATGATTTCTGAGAGAGGGATGTTGAAGTATCCATGTAATATTGTGGATTTGTTTCATACTACCTTCAGTTCTGTCAGTTTTTGTTTCGTGTGTTTTAAAGATCTGTTGTCACATGTATAGACATTTAGATTGTTAGGTCTTCTTGTTTTTGTTTTTTGTTTTTTAAGCAGAGTCTCGCTCTGTTGCTTGGGCTAGAATGCAGTGGCCTCATCACAGCTCACTGCAGCTTCAAACTCCTAGGCTCGAGTGATCCTCCTGCTCAGCCTCCCGAGTAGCTAGGACTACAGGTGCGCACCACCATGCCTGGCTAATTTTTTCTATTTTTTGTAGAGATGGGATCTCACTCTTGCTTTGGCCGGTCTCAAATTCCTGGCCTCAAGCAATCTTTCAACCTTAGCCTGCCAAAGTGCTAGGATTACAGGGATGAGCCACTGTGCCCCGGCCTCATTAGGTCTTCCTGATGAATTGACCCTTTTATTATTATGTTGTGTTCCTCTTTATTCCCAGTAATATTGCTTGTTCTGAAGTCTCATTTGTCTTAGATTAATATAGCTACGCCAGCTTCCTTTTGTTTGGAGTTCGTGTAGTATATCTATTTCTGTCCTTTTATTTTCAACCCATTTCTTTTTGAATATTTAATAAAAGTGGGTTTCTTATAGATATTACATAGGTGGGTCTTGCTTTTTCATCCAATCTGAAGATCTCCAGTTGGTATGCTTAGACTATTTATATTTATTATGGTTGGCTTTAAATCTGTATCATCTTGCTGGTTGTTTCTGTTTGTTCCATGGATTCTTTATTCCATTTTTCTTTTTCTGCCTGCTTGTATAATAGATTAATTGAATATTTTATGATTCCATTTTTAACTCTAATATTGGCTGATTACATATATTTCTTTTTTAAGTTGTTTTACACTTGATCTTAGCCAAAAGGCGGAGAAGCAATTTTAAGTTGTTTTATATTTGAACCAGAGTTGACAGTGTACATCTTTAATTTCTTCTGATGTGCCTTTCAGTAATATTGTACCACTTCATGTATAGGGTAAAATCCATGTAAAATATAGCAGAGCACAGTGGCAGGTGTGTGTAGTCCCAGCTACTCAAGAGGCTAAGGTGGAAGGATTGCTTGAGGCCAGGAGTTCAAGTCCAGCTTGGGCAACATAGCAAGTGAGACCCTTTCTTTTAAAAAAAAAAATAATAATAATCTATACAAAATAGTAAATGTCCTATTCCTCTTCCATCTTTTGTGTTATTGTCATACACTTAATTTTATATATGTTAGTCACCCACAAGGTACCCCACCATACATTGGTATTTTTGCCTTAGATAAGTCAACTATCTTTTAGAATGAATAAAAATAATGAAAAAAAGTGTGTTTTCCTCTAAATTTTACCAATTTTGGCACTCTTTATTTCTTTGTATGCATACAGATTTTTATCTAGTGCCACACTCCTTGTGCCTGAAAAACTTCCTTTAGCATTTCTTATAACACAGGTCTGCTGGCAGTGTATTATCTCAGCTTTGGTTTGTTGGAAAAACAAACCTTCAATTTTGAAAGATACTTTAGCTAGGTAGGGTACAGCCTAGGTTCTTGGAAACTGCAGCTTTTTTATGTACTAGGAACTTAACTCTTGTTTATGTTAAGTAGCCTATAGTAAAATTGGTTGTATTACGCAGTATACTATTTCACTTAAAGTCTCCAAGAACCTATCAATGATGTTACTGTAAGGACTTACTGTATTCTATGTTGATACTTTTTTCTTTTTGTACTTTAAAGTTACTCCTTTGTCTTCTTGCTTATCTAGTTTCTGATAAGAAGTCTCTTGTAATCCTGATCTTTGTTCCTTTTCTTCCTCTGGCTGTCTTCAAGATTTTGTCTTTATCTTTGGGTTTTAGCAGTTTGAGTATGTTATGTTTAGGTGATATTTTGGTATTTTTTCCTGTTGGACTTCTCTGAGCTTCTTGATCTGTGTTTTAAAATAGTTTGTAAAATTTGGGAAATTTTGGGCCATTGTCTTTTAAAATACTTCTTCTGCTCCATTCTTTTTCTCTTCTCCTGGGATTCCAGTTACATTTTGTTAGATTGTTAGATAGTGTCCCATTTCTCTTGGACGCTCTGTTAGTTTTTTTTCTCTTTGTGTTTTATTTTGGGTACTTTTTTTTTTGACCTATCTTCAAGTTCCCTGATTCTTTCCTGGCTATGTTGAATATAATGATGAGCCTTCATTGGCATTATCTATCTTTAATATATTTTATGTTTTTAATTTCCAGCATTTCTATTTGACTTTTTCTTATAGTTTCCATCTTTGTGCTGAAATTCTCCATCTGTTCATGCATATTTCCACCTTTTCTGTTGTAGGCTAACATATTAATCATAGTTAGTTTCAGTCTCTGTCATGTATTTAATAATTTGAACATCTCGGATCATCTCTCAGTCTATTTTGTTTTTTCTCTCTTCTTTTTTTTGAGACAGAGTCTCCACTGTATCACCCCAGCTAGGGTGCAGTGGCGTCATCATAGCTCACTGCAACCTCCAACTCCTGACCTCAAGGGATTCTCCCACTTCGGCCTCCCAGACTGCTAGGATTATAGGCCTGTTTTGTTTCTTAATAGCATATTTTTTCTGGTATTATTGTGTGTATGTCTTAGTTTTTGAGATCTCATATGTAAAACAGTAGTATAGTGAGGTTAAAAAGAATTTATAGGCCAGATGCAGTGGCTCATGCCTGTAATCCTAGCCCTTTGGGAGGCCAAGGCGGGAGGATCATTTGAGCCCAGGAGCTTGAGACCAACCTGGGCAACAAAGGGAGACCCC